ATAATAAGGTAAAGCCCCCCCCCCCCCGTAGAACTTATATTCATCACGATTCATAAAATTCTGAATTCTCACATCTCGGAGAGATTCATCCCCATCTTCTTCCTTGTAAGCATGCACATCCAGAAGTAATTTTGTAATTTTCATCAAGAAGTTGCTTCGCAAAAAACAATAATGTGCTTCCTGATATATACAAAGGCTCTTCTGACGTCATTTTAAACATTGTCCTGGAAAAAAGATCGTTCCTGAAGCACTTTGTTGACATCAAGGATTTTAAATATTTAATTTGACGCTAACTTCGTCAACCTTTACTCCAAAAGTGAGATTGGAAACGAAAAGAAGAGCTTTCCGTTGTAAAAAAAAAGTGCTGTTCAATCCAAATTTGAATTCAAAAAACTTAGTTTTTTTTTGACACTATCTAGCGATTCATAGCTTTAAAGCATCCAAGAACGTCTTACAGCCGAAAACTTAGCAATAGATGTGTGTAGTTATAGTTGACCGCACAAAATCGCCCAGCCTGAACGCCCGCGGCGTGTCTCTTGCGGGCTAACGTTTGCATTAGCGCGCATGAGTCAACATAATGCCCTACTCGACAGCCGCGTTGCAGGCACGCTCGCGTGCATGCAGTCTAGAGCGACCCGGACGATTTCGTGCAGTCGACTTTACGTTCGTCATTTTCTTTCCAGCACTATTTGGGTGAAGGTGACCCATCCATCTACAACAGAATATATGTACACATATTGATCACGAGTTTACTACAAGGAACTCAACAAATAATGGTTTCAAAGTATGACTCTAAGAGTGATAGCACCTTGGAAGTTTATGCCATGCAAGTGCGAACCTATGTAATACATTTGTGGTTTTGTAGTCAAAAGTACATATAATAACATACAGGCGACTATTTAGAGTACGGGTACTGTTTGACGATAAACTGAGCAATAAACGTTTTTGAGTTCATGGAGTCATAGCAAATCATACAATATACTACGGTCACCCTATGTCTTTATGTGTCTATTGCGCAATGCACACATTGCGCTTCTCATCCTAACAGACAATAGGATTTCCAGTTCTTGAAAAAAAAAACATTGAATACACACTGCAGACGGCCAAAAAACCCATGATGAGACGCGCAAGACGTTTTCGCAAGATGTGACACGTTTTCTTTCTCACGGCACAGATGACGAATGCTTGCTGTTTAGTTGCACCACTTGCGCTCAGTCAGTTCTGAAGCTCACAATTTCCAGATACTTGCCCCCCAACCTCCCCTACTTGCTTGGTTATGAAAATATGCAAGTGGCTCGCTCATACCTGTAAATAATTGGAATTTTCAAAATTCTTCAAAATTCAATTTAGCTTCATTAAGAAATTTTTTTCGGGGGCATGGCTTCCGCCACGTCCCTCTTTCCAAATTTCGGGTTATGGATCCGCGAAAATTTTGGGAAGCATACCATAAATTTTCGGAGTCACATCCGTCTGAAAGAGGAAATCCTGGGTACGCCACTGGTATTTAGCTGGTTTTTGGAAACATTTACGCATCCAGAGAAAACCTTTGGAAACCCATGAAAATAAACGCGCTCCATGGTCTACCCCATCCTCTACAGTTAACTGTGTAAAAAATCACTTTTTCTCATATGGAACTACCCGTTTCCAAAAGTTTTGAGGCCGTAGACAGAAAATTAGAAAAACAGAGTTGCTTGGCAGGTCCTTGATTCGAAAAAAATTTTGTGATCACAAAAACTTCGTCCTTGATTTTTTCGGGAACAAAATGATGTGAACTTTTTGCGAATGGAAAGGTAGTTTGCACCTTTCGTCTCTCAATTCTGGAACGAACCTTTTATGTATATCGCAATTTGCTCATCACAGAGGCGAGAGATGCATTTATCGCTTTCATTACTTTACTCTCGAGGTGCAAAGATCACAATAGATACATATATAGAAGACAAATAAGCGTTGTAAGCAGAACACCATTGTTATCACTAGTTTGCTGTCGACAAATCGCAAATGACCAAAAAAGCTTTACGTATTTGGAGCCATACTATTCTTATGATTCCCAAAATTCCTACTGCCTGTGGGGCGCAGAAAAATGGGAAGTGTCAAAGCTAATTCCTCATTTCCTCATTTTGTTGTACTCTCAACATGAGATGTCCTTACTGCTTGCGCTCGTAAAACAGTGCAAAAAATCAAATTCAAGAATTTTAATTCAGGTCCTCAACATTATTGGTAGTTCTCGCGCTCAGAAAAAGCGAAAATCGCAGGAAACAGAAACACAAAATTCACGAAGGTCACAAAAATAGCCGGACTGGTCCTCTAGCGAGTACCACCAAGAAGTATACATCATATGAGCCAAAAATAAATGGATTTGATGGTACAGAATGAAAGGAAATTTCACTGCGAAGGTACCAATCGCACGGCAGATTGCCGAAGATGAAAATCCCAGCCATTGTCCCATTTCACGGCACAGCACATCCTTGATTTCACCTACAACTTGCCAGGTAAAAATTTAAGTTCTCTAGAATTGCGCTACCTCCGTCACGATTCCCTTCATGCCAGCATATCAACCTTCTTGTGCTTCCACTCTTCATAATTAATCGTATTGACGTGCGTTGCCAGAATCTGTGTCCTTGCTCCACATTCCTTACATTTGTTATCCGCACACGACCTTCTACCGTTATACTCATACCTAAGAAAATGTCACGTTTGTTTTGGAAGGGGCGATGGTATGTAGCTGCTACATAAACTAAACAGTATAAGGCATTTGAAAAATCGTGACGATGGCGCGACCGCGCGCGACACGCACGCCACTTCTGGAAATCGCATTTTTTTGGTTTTCATCTCTAGTCGAGTGGTTTTTTCGCTTTTGTATGATAGGATTTAGACACTGGAAGTGACTGAGCTGAACGTTGAGGTGATGCCTTCTCGTATGAGCGTTTTATGCTCATGTGGGTGCAAAGTCCGCAGTGAAATCTGTCATCACGATTTTATAAATGAATTATACACTGAAAAGGTTTCTAAAGAAATTCTAAACTCCCACCTGGCAAGGAATTTCCAGTGTGCTTCTATGTAAATGTCCTCCCACATTGCGCAGTCGTCCTTGAGCAGAGCGGGTGAGCACAGTTTAGCAAGGCCGGGCAAGTTGTAAAACTGCAAAGTTCAACCGAAGTGAAAATTTGTGAGTTCTGCAAATCTCACCTCAGCCTCTCTTCGTAGGTTTTCTTTGGCATCGTGATCTGTTGGAAGAGCAAAATTCTCCCCGTCCTTCAGATAGTCAAGCACCTCAACAAAATTTCTTCCCCACGGGTAATAAATTTCTGCGGCACCTTGCCGAAATAAGTCGATTCCGATCTACAAATACCTCTTTCTGGTTTGATTGTTTCCAGCGACTTGACACCCACGGGGGTGATCAGCATGCTCGATTACCCCCCTGTGCCAACTCCCAGCCCCGTAGCTCAAATTTTGCAAAAAATCGATAAAATCGATATCGATCGATGACGAAAAGTAGCCTATGACACCCGCCGGGGCCCGAAGTGTATGTGTGCCAAGTTTGGTCCCGATCGGTTCAGAAATGGAATTTTCTATTCGGAACATACGTACACACAGACAGACAGACAGACAGACAGACAGACAGACAGACAGACATACAAACAGACATTCAGCTTTATAAATAAGATTGCGTGAGATTTTACGGTAACCGAAGGCAGTGTCCGGCCAAAAACTCGATTTTGAGATTTCATGCTTACCCGAGCATATTCGCCATGCTGAATTCGAAAATGCACATTGGAGAGCGCGAAAACGGTGAAAAACGGCTCTAACACAGGAGGGAAATCAGCAGGTAGGCGGGGTCTTCCTCATTGTGAATTCACGCTCCCAGCTTCCGAAGCGATCTTCTCCTTCCACTTTCAAGTCAATCATTCGTACTTGGCCGGTAGCGATGTTGGGACGGCTAGCGGAATCGAAAAGACTGCTCCGGAAGCTGGGAGCGTGAATTCACAGTGGGGAGGACCCCACCCACTCGCTGTTTCCCTCCTGCATTAGAGCCCTTTTTTGCCGTTTCCCCGCTTCCCAATGTGGATTTTCGGATTTTCAGCATGGCGAATAGGCCCGTATAAGCACAAATCGAGTTTTTGCCCGGACACTGCCTTTAAAGAGAGCATTACCGTATGAGGCGGCGAAATTCAGCATCGCAAATACACTCTGTAGACAAAGTTAGCGCAAATTCTGAGATTTTGCCCTGTAGAACTCTTATGACCCCACTTGAAGACATTTTTATTCGAGTAAGCATCATTTCCGTATAGCATGCCAGATATTGTGTGAAATTAGTTTCTGGGATCTGGTAGCGAAATACTATCTATAGTTCAGTCCGTTCGTGCGTTCTTCAACTCCCAGACACATTTGATTTTTGTGGCTAAGTACTCAAAAAATCAGCTTCATACTAATCGGTATTCCACTAGACGACTTCAATGATTCATAAAGACGCTTTGTCGAATTCAAATCAATGATCAACGGATTGGATTTCTAGAAATACGTAGCAGTCCCAGTAGAAAACTACCCTCTATTTCATCAACGATAAAGGCCTTAAACAGGTTAACCAAAGCATGAGTAGAGAAGACTTCCAAATCCACCTTTCGCTGGTGAGACGCACTTTCTAAGATTCTGTAAGTTCGAATGTGTGCGATTCACAGGAGATGCGCTCATGCAATAAAATCAAAAAATGAGCCATGCTACAATGTATATTAATGTTGCAGGTCCATCCTCATGTTTCAGTGATGTGTTTCTCTGCTTGCAACCCATTTACCAAATCACTCTAAATGCGAGAAAAAGCCGCATGGGTATCAATCAGCGGTAAGTGAACAGTTTATCCAGTAAGAACGGGATACAGAAATAAGAGTAGCAAGAACATCTACAGCACATTGGTAGGAGTAATAAGTAAGCAACTGTGGCCGACTGTCAACAATGCAATTGATGTGAAATAGCTAGCCAAGTATAAATGAAGAAATTCTCAAGAATTAGTGTGCCATCTTCAGTGCAGATTTCGAGAGATGTGTTTCCCAGGCGTCCCATTTGACCCCACAACAGGAGTTGCTCACCTGCAATAGTTTCCATAAAAAAATGAAAGGAGATGAGATAAAGCTCGATTACCTCCGTTACGTTTCCTTTCATGAAGGACATATGGTGCTGAAGTGGGATCCAGTCGTCATATTCGAGGCGAGTTTCATCAGCGATCTCTTTATTTTCGGTGGTGGTTGGTCCGACGTAGCCACACATTATCGCCGCAGGCCATGCATCTGGCCCATTCCCTTTCATGGTACTGATATCTGGAACATAGGATATACAGAGCCAATCCTGTTACTGTAAGGATGTATACAGCGGGCACTTCGCGCAGGCTCCACGTTCTTGGTTGTCACAATTACGCACATTTCTAAACAAACGCTTTCAGTCCATCTACTAGTTCCCGATTTTTGCAACAGAACATTTACTAAAGCCTTCTTTATCATTTAGTACCATGGCCGATGTGATGAGAATTCAATGCGCTTACGTTCAATGTGTTGTGTGCAAAGGCACAATTTAGCTGTATAAACAAGTATGCGCCTAGACGACTACTTGAGTATGGCTTTTACGATGAATTTTGGTCAAGAAACAAGATTCTTTACCTGACAAAGAATTTCCAGTAGATTGCAATGGCGCTCTCTTTCCACTGTACAGCATTCCCAATTTGGAAATCTGTGCGCAGGCACATCTCTGCGAGGCCGGGCAGCTTGTAAAACTGAAGCCATGTGGATATGCAAGTAAGATTGTTTTGCACTGAAATTTACCTCGGCTTCTCTATAAAGACTTTCTCGAGCCTCATCATCCGCAGGAGGACAAAAGTTTTTGCCATCACGTAGGTAGTTCATCACCTGGAGTAGAGTTACAGCTGAGGTGATCTTAGGTAAGGAATTAAAACTTCATACGTTTCCAAAATGAGTTGGGTCCCTATCCTACTCTATATAAAGCGCAAGCACCCCCATATGACTCAGCGCGTTTGTCGGCGTAAACAAGTGTGTATGTCGGATCCAGCGAACGACCAAGTGATCCTTGGAATGTTGGATCCAGAGAACGATCAATCAGTGATCCTTGACATTTACCAGACGATCCATGCGTAAACAACTACTCTTAAAAGCTTCTAGAGACGGTATGATGGTTGTGAGTACAAAAGTACAGTCTAGAATACATGTTGACTGAATAGTCTCTCTTCACATACTCCACTTAGGCTTCCAATCCATCGACACACTCGATCTCAAATTTGTTAGTATCTTCTACCGATTTGACACTTTTTCCAGTTGCTCTGTCATTGACGCGCACCATTCCATGTAATCTCGCTTTCAAACATTCATTTCAGCAAATATATGCCTAAATTCTGAGTGCCATAGCCGCCTTAATTTTGCCTTCAGAATAACATCTTTAAATGTATGGGTGGCTAAGGCTTTGAGTGCTATAGTCGTGTTTTGATCCTTGCTTCATGAGCCAAATTTGTGCAAAAAATCCTTTTCTTAAAAAAATCTCTGGACACTTCAGCTGAACTTTTGAGCCTCTTTTCTGCTCTCTTTAACCTTATTAAGCTATCGCTTTGAACTCCCATTTGCAAAATGATTCTCAGTGTTGCGTTCACCATGTGTAAAGTTTTTCGCCGTATGCTTCAATCCATACTCTTCGAACAATTACAACCTTTTGTATAGCTTCTTCAGAGCCGTTATTTTTAGAAGAAAGAAATAGAGCAACTATGCCTTATTACTTAAACAAAATGATTCTCAGTGTTGCATTCACCATGTGTAAAGTTTTTTCGCCGTATGCTTCAATCCATACTCTTCGAACAATTACAACCTTTTGTATAGCTTCTTCAGAGCCGCTATTTTTAGAAGAAAGATATAGAGCAACTATGCCTTATTACTTAAATTACCTATCACCAACAAAACTGATCAAATGGAATAGTCATTAGGAATTTCGAAAATCAAAGTACTAAAATCATCTATAGAATTATACTTAAATTACCTATCACCAACAAAACTGATCAAATGGAATAGTCATTAGGATTTTCGAAAATCAAAGTAGTAAAATTATCTATAGAATTATAAACCAGTAAACTCATGCTATCCATACTTAGCGACCATTATGTCATATGTATCCGATGCCCTCAGATACAATGCTTTAAGAAGTCACAGCCCCTGATGAAGTAAAGAGGAATAGATCTCCTTCCCTCTTGAAAATCAAAGTCTGTTGATGACGTAGGTTTTTTGGGGCCAACCCAGTTCCGGTATGGCTATATCAGTCTCTAAAGAGTTCTTTCATAAAAAAAAAACTTTCACCTTCGCTTTGGTTGCATCAATGAAATGAAAAAGCGTCTTTCTTTTGAACGAACATTCCACTGTTCATTTCCAGTACAATCTGCAGTGTAATGACAGTAAATACAGCTAATGCTGCTGCAGAGTCATGAATATCGGGAGCACGTACGATCACTTTTCAAGACGCTATGCTTTTCGTATTACTTTCCGCACACCAATAATTTCATTCATTGAACATCAGTGGAAGCTTTCCTAATGTCACCACTCAAATTATAAAAAAAAAACAACACCTTTTTGAAAGGATATCAGCGTGGTGATGTCCTCGAGCTCCTAAAAATTGGATGCAAAAAGCTCCTTAGCTAGGAAAGCGTGGATTAATCAGAGCTCCACCTCAGAATTTCGGATTTTTTGAAACTGAAAATCCTACGATTGATATTCATTGTCACTGCATACAATTTTGTCTGGATCAAGGAACACTATATTAACTGAATTGTGCACGCATTTCAAAAGTTCCCAGCAAAGGAAGAAAGGATGTGATTACCACTCAAAATTGTTGAATCTGAAAGTCTGAATCTACACTAGAACCTTTCAAGTGGATAAGTTGAATTCCCTTGCTGCTTCAAATTTGAGGAAAAGAGTAGTTGCAAAAATCGGGACAGTGAAGCTCGGAGGGCATTCCGGGGGAGCAATATGAACAACCTGGCTGGAGATAGTTTTTCAAGTATAGAGTATCTTGCAAAAAAATCGGAGAGAAACTTTGGCAGATCAACATACAAGTGGAAGGGCAGCTTCGAGCAAGATGAACTCATGAGAGATCGAAGTAGACCTAAACGGCACGGAAAATTATTGAGGATCTGCAAGAAAAAAAAGAATTTTTCAGGATTTTTGAGTGAAAAGTTTGGGAACACTTTCAAAAAACTCAGGCGTATGCAAAATGCAAGTTCTTCATGAAAAATTAAGCATTTTGTAGAGGTGGGAGGATAAATTTGTATGAAGCAGGAAGATTTATGCCACTATAGTTATGGCCTCTGTGATGATTTTGCTAGCATGTGGGATGATGACCTCTGGGGTATCTTTGGCAACATGTGGGATGGAGCTTTTCAAGCTTAATTTTGTCAAACGGCGAGTTTCTTTTTGGTTTGTGTGCTGGAAACAGACTATTACTTATCTTGCTAACCACGCTATCTCAGCAGCCGTAACCACCGACTCAGACAATCACAGGCCCTCAGCCGGCGGCGATAAAGGGCAGTTTCACTGAGCGGGCGGCGATAGTGCAAAAGTGGCAGTGAGCGGGCGACGACATTGTAGGAATGGCGGTGAGCGGGCAGCGACGGGCTACCAGCGGGCAGCTATAATCTTCCATGAGTCAGAAAATAGCTGCAGAGCGCATTCATTCCTAGAAAAGCAGCCAAAAGGCGACGATGAGGTAGCGACTCCGTTAAGCTGGCAGCGACCTTGAAACGATGGGGCTGCGAATACAAAATTTCTGTCAGCGGGCCGCATCAATGCTATGAGCAGGCAGCCTTAATTCATAACGCCGCATTGTCGCTGCCAACTGGAAGCCATATCGTTGCCCGCTTGAGACATTGTGGATCGCACCAGTAAAGTTAGATGTGCAGGTAAACGAGATTGGCAGCGTGGGCTCGCGTCATTTTTTCATTTTTTGTTGCCTAATCTTTGTTTTCATCTTTGCTTTTCTTTGTTTTCATTTTCGTTATCATTCAGTGCTTTATTTCAAGTACTAGTGAACCAGTACCTATAGGCGCTTAGTATGTGTCTGCTGTCTTAGTATCGGTAGCGAATCGATTCGCTACCGATACTAAGACAAGGAGGCCAGACGCTCGCGATACCTGTATATATATGTAATCAGCGAGACAGATGATGTTTCGGCAGATGTTCAGAGTCTATCACTTAGGCGCAATTTATAGCAGAACTACAAGAAGGCCCTAATTCAAACTCCCGTAAAGGAGCATTTTCCACGCATGATATGATCCTTTACGTTTAAGAAACAGTGTCAAGGATTCTCTAGAGTAGTTGCGTAGGACCGCTTTAGGTTAGGGGGAATGGTGCCAAACTCTGATCTGATAGTCTCAAATTCAAACATATCCCACTTCACACATACAGCCAGTCCAAAGCGCCGCGAAGCGGCGCTTTGGACTGGTCAATGAACAGTTCATCCTGGTTTCGTCTACGCTTAGCCACGGCAGCGAGCAACTGCCAAAATTTGTGCATGAATAGATGGAATTTACGGATGAGCGGGACTAAACTCACACTGCCGTCCACGCTGGTAAGGGTTGAGAAGGACGTTTCGAAAACACGTCCACCGACATTGATCCTTACATATTCTTCACACGTTGGAAGCTCAATCATTTCTGTCTAAAAATTTTTTTTCACTAACAAGTTGTAGTCGACCTAGATGACGTGAAATCCTAAATCTAAATACATTTCTTCAACTTTTCATGTGAGTATGAGCAGGCTGGTGGCTCCGATCAAACGTCCAACTCAAATATGAAAGCAGAAGCTCGAGCCTCGAAAACATGAAACTCACCATTGTAGTTGGTGTTGTTGTGACACTGGGGACCCAACATCATCCAAACAACACGAACCTGGTTGGGTCCCACGACGATGTGAAGCAGTGTTTCGCTACGCTTCCTCCCTCTACGATCGGGTGCATTTTAGTACATAGAAGCGAAAAACGGGAGTATGACTTCTTTGCCAACACCTTTCTGCCTAAAATACACCAAGCATCCTTTAGCTAGCTTTGAGAGTTCCCCAGTGAAAATAAGTGTCTGAAACCACCTTCAATTTTTGCGCGAATATCTGTCGGCAAGGCTGTATGAGAGTGCTAAATTATTCTCTTTCAGCCGAGATATGCACATGAATTGGAAAGAAAAAAACGAGAAGTATGTCAGCGTCTTAACTTTCCGCGCCCTCCTGTTTCTGAGTTGAATAAGGAATGTTTTTCGACAATATTTTTTTCCCCGCACAAGGGTCCACATCTCTAATCATGTAAAGTGAAAAAAGGTGAAGTAGTTACACACTCATCGACAATACTCAACTTATCATGCGTAAAATCTATGCGATGGTTTGGATCAAAGCAATGTTTGGATACTGCTTGGCCGGTTTTCTCATGTAAAAAGTGAGCCAATCTCTTCGGATGCGGTACTAAGCGGAAGATAAGAAATGTGTTTGCGGCCATGAAAACACGAATATATTATGTCATGGACTTGGCAGTGGTTTCTATGCCTTCCTAGTCAGTTCACAGAGGATTCTCAGATAATCAAAACTTCACATTCAAGTCAAATAAATGCACCCGCCACTCGTTCCATCTGTATTCAAGTTTTTCTACGTAAATGAAAATATAAATACTGATTTCATCGAGTTGTCAATATGCAGAGTTTGCAGCAATTACACACAATACTCATTTTGGCAGAAGATCGTCAAAAGCTTACACTCATTTCAACTTTTTGATGTTACCATTATAAAAAGCTGAATAAATTGCCGTAGAACAATAACTGCCCCACTATGACCTACATAACTATGCTTGCCTAAAATCTTTTTCAAAATTGGCTATATGACTGCATCACGGCTAGTTTTTGAATGAGCTCGTTGTTTGCGGTGAGCTATGGATATTGAAGGAAGCTTTTGTCGAACGGAAATCGTAAGCGAAAAGTTTCGAATTAAGTGAGCCTTATGAGATAGTAAATTAGGAGAATGTCGAAAGCATGGGAAACTGTCTGTATTTAGTCTTGAGCAGTGCAGGTTGCGGAACGTGCATAAGCAGCTCACTGGTCCTTCACCTCACGCAAGTCATGACAATTCCATAAATTCTATGAAAATGGCCTTTCATTAGATGAGTTCTGTTACTTACCTCATAGCTTACTTTTCCCTTCATGTATGACATATGTTATCTCAGGGATCCCAATTCTCGTAGTTGACGACAACTTTATCGAGATCAACATTACTGACCGAGGCTGTGAGACCAGTAGTTCTCATTTGAGTTTATGTCCTAATCTTTTTCCTCCCAACACTCTTATTTTCGCAATCGTAAAGATAATCTGCAGCAGATACTATCGTTCCTTAACAGAAATTGCGAATAACATTACGACGAATTTTGATTCGAAAACTGGCGATGCAGATGGATTGCGGATTGCGGACGCATTAGGCTGCACATCTTGGCCACCAGGAAGATTTTAGAAACTACACACTTTGAAAAGAGCAAATACAGTTTCTCTCAGCCAACAACTCACTTCGGCCTCTTTTCGTAGAGCCTCTCGCGCTTCCTCTTCTACAAAAAGAGTAACATTTCAACTTTCCATGTTCGGCTGTCTTTTAATCTTATCATATTATGTAGTCGTATATTATAGTGTTTAGCAAAGAGACAAGATTATTATGAGCTTTTATTGGCCAACGTTTCGGCGGTTTCGCCTTCTTCAGAGCCTGGAAGGTCAAGTCAGCAATCTTTTCACTCAGTCGTCAATAGAAGGCTCAGATCTGCATTCGATTGGTTAGATCGTGCTTCGAATTACGGTAGTCAAGCCTACCTCGGATGACCAGCACGAGAGCTATAGCGAACACGTTATGACAAGACCATCCCTCAACACTTTTTATATGTGCTCACGATCAAATCCACATAATAATCCAAGAATTATCACCCATCAATCTTTATGTGGATTTGATCGTGTGATCGTGAGCACATATAAAAAGTATTGAGGGATGGTCTTGTCATAACGTGTTCGCTATAGCTCTCGTGCTGGTCATCCGAGGTAGGCTTGACTACCGTAATTCCAAGCACGATCTAACCAATCGAATGCAGATCTGAGCCTTCTGTTGAGTGAAAAGATTGCTGACTTGACCTTCCAGGCTCTGAAGAAGGCGAAACTGCCGAAACGTCGGCCAATAAAAGCTCATAACAATCTTGTCTCTTTGCTAAACACTATAATATACGAGTAACATTTCATTTTCGTCACCTCTAGGTAATCTAGTACCCTCGAACGAAGGTTTTGACGCCAAGACAAAGATAGTATTAGGTATTCGTTCTCTGATTAAGAGACGCGACCACGCTTTGCGTACGTCTGATTAACAAGTTCATGGGCGTGTTTTACCGCGTTTTGGTGAATTTGCTGTGAATTTGTGGAAGAACATGTTCATTGTTCAACAGGCACTCAAGCAAAACTCGTTAAAACTCACACATGAACTTGCCAATAACTACGCGAAGCGTGCTCGCGTCTCTTAGCCAGAAATGAATGATATCACTTTTGCAAAAAAGTTGGATTTTTGTCCATGAACATCTCCTTTTGATCCCGCCGGCGTTTGCACCATCACAGAAAGCACCTTTGGTAGTTTAGGTTGTATCAATGAACGAAAAACGGTTTAAACTTACAGTATTATAGATCTTGTAAGTGTGGAGACGTTTTGAGTCTCAGACAGCGGATAGGACCCCTCCGGCGGAGAAATGGCAGGGCCGCGGGGTTTCCCCAGCGGTGGGTCTGCCACTCGTCCGCCGGAGCCCTCCCATTTCTGCTCCGGAGACCTCCGATTTCTGCTCCGGAGCCCTCCCATTTCTGCTCCGGAGACCTCCCATTTCTGCTCCGGAGCCCTCCCATTTTGTGCGCCGGAGCCCCCCGATTTTGTGCGCCGGAGCCCCCCGATTTTGTGCTCCGCAAATCTGCCGCGGCATACTGTAATTAGCCCTAATTAAGCTCCAAACCCCAATTTTGTCTTTAAACCCCACCCAAATTAGCCGAATAGGACCCCCCCCCCCCGGGTAGGAGTTCAGCGCGACCCTCACCCCCGTACTCTACCCCCTTCCTCTCACCCCTAGCGTTTGTGAATAGAGGATAGAAGAATAAAGAAACAAGACATTTATTTCAAATTAACTGCAAACAATCTCCTGTAAATTGCAAAACAAAACTTAGCAGCTACAAAACGGACAAAGACAACAGTTGCCGGCAACCTATGACCGTACCCTAAGCGAAAACATAAGCGAAGTAAGTGTAGTGAGTTAGACGGCTTGGAAAACACAGCGCAAAACCTTTTGTCAGACATTTCTGACATTTTTGACATTTTAGACATTTCTGATGACGGAGGTGCATCTGTTGGATTTTCTCCAAGTTCAGCACTGCCTTTGTATTCTCTCGCCATCAAATTCCTACAATCTTTGAGTTGAGCCTCAGAAAGGATTTGGGAGCCATTGAGATTCAGCGAGAGAATATAGAAGCAGTGAAACATAAAAGCAACACTGTACACTTATGCGATTGGATGATATGCGATATGATATATTTTTTGAGGTGCACAAGAATATAGATGGCAATGCTACGATTCCAAGGAAGAGTTTTCGATAACACTCGATTCTGAACACAAATGTCATGCAAAAGTCATCAATTTCCTATTAAAGATTCCGTTTCCTGAATAGACGAGACTAGGAACCTACTAGGATGCATAAATAACACCGTGTCAACTCGTTTTTTATCAAGAGGACGAAAGAAAATCGAATTGGCGCTGATCGGCAATACTAAAACATTGAGTATATGAAGGTAGAGGGGTCACCCATAAAAGAGAATCCTGAGAAGAGAATCTCGCAAAAGAAAGCAACTGGAGTGGGAAAAACCTTACCTTGCTGGTCATTGTCATTTCCCGCGTGGCAAGATTTATCATCAAATGAACTAGTTGTTCATCCAGTTCGTTGACAATTTTCGTATCCGATACTACATTGTTGATAGCTTCCAGAACAAGAGCCTTATTTGATGCTGAGAGCTAAATTCAAAATAACGATCGGCACAGGCACGAACAAGCTTCCTTAAGATAACCTATAAATCACTTTGGGATTCTGCAGCAGGTAGTGATGAGAAGCTGTGAGTAAAGTATTCGATTGGTTAACTCCGACAGCTCTCAAAGACTCGGACACCTAAGCGAACATAACTGAAAAAAGCCATTACATTATATATAGGCGAATCGCAGGCAGAAATAGATTGCCACTGCGGACCCTGTAGGCGTCTCTCAGATTAAACACACTTTCGCCCTCTTAGCCGTTTACTGCCTCTCCGCAGCACACTCTTCCCTATGACGCAACGGCGTCCAGCCTTTGGTGCAATGAATAGTCTATTGAGAAACACAACGATTCTCAAAAAAAGTCGTAAGGAAAACTTGAATGTCTATCTATACACAAAATATTTGGTGCAATTTTACTCTCATTCGCTTTTGGCCGTTTCCAAGCGAAGTTTACAACTTTTTCCAAATCAGCGAATGTCTCAACATGTCTCTTGCAATATTCTGCATGAAGAAGCGTCGCTTTGAGAATTGCAAGAAAATTCTTGAAACTGCTAATTCTTGAAATTTTGAAACTTTCGTCATCGCGGTCGAGCAGAACGACATTACGACACCAGTGCCTCTAATTAAGGCAATCAGTGAAAGAGAAAGGCAATCAGTGAAACAAGAGATGAGCGAGAACAAGAAATCGCTGAAAATATGTACACCTCGATAAGTGGCTCATAGGACTTTGATTCAGATGTTATGTCCGGTAGAGATCAGATATAAAATTGCCTAGAAACCCTAACGCTTACCTTAGCATGCATCTGCCCGAAAAGCCACAGATAATGTTCGGAACGAGCTCAAATTAATTACAAAAACCACTCCATCAAAAGTCAACGATGTCTCAGCAAGTCGAAAAGAGCCAAACACTGAAAGTGATTGAGTGCATCCGCGCGAAAATTTGAAACATAAACCTGAAAACGAGGAACTTACAACAACATAAACGCCAACGCGACGAAGAGCAACTCGGAAAAGAAAAAAACGGTAAAGAAACGCGGAAAAACAACAAAATCATAGAAACCACGACTAAAATATGGAGAAAGAGCGTAAATAGAGGACTCATCACCGTGAAGTTAGACGTTTGCTTGGCTACGCGCCAAATCGATACGCAGCCTGCTCTGGAGCCCTCCCATTTGTGCTCCGGGGCCCTCCCATTTCTGCTCTGGAGCCCTCCCATTTTGTGCTCCGGAGCCCTCCCATTTTGTGCTCCGGAGCCCTCCCATTTTGTGCTCCGGAGCCCTCCCATTTTGTGCTCCGGAGCCCTCCCATTTGTGCTCCGGAGACCTCCCATTTGTGCTCCGGACCCCTCCAATTTTCTCGGCGCGGCTCGTCCAAATCTGGCGTACCTTCGGAGCAGAAATGGCGTACCTTTGCAGCAGGGCCGGAGAAGGGTCCCACTTACCTGCCAGTGATGTCACCGCGACCTACAAGAAGGGACCGCCCAATCGGCCCGCTCTCATTGGTCAGCTGGGTCCGGCGCGACTCTGGCAGATTCCGACTGTCCGGCGGAGGGGTCCGGTCGATTGTCTGAGGTGCTACGACAGTGACTTTTACTCTCAACTCTTCAGTTGTTCACTCTCGTCTTCCTGAAACTACAATATACCGTAACCACTGGATGTCATAAAGACCACAATTTTGAGTAAAAACTTACCTGCATCGTTGAGGCCGCCATTCTCAATCGTTCGGAGTTCGAATTGCTGCACCAGTTGAGCGAGGATATGCTGCGGTTTTATAATATCTAAAGCGACAGTGCATTGAAGCAGCGTCTTCCCAGATGCTATCATGTTTTACTCATTCCGGAAGGCCTATAATGGCCTTATCAGATATTCAGATTCTGATTTAGATGCCATTCTTTCTGGGGAACACATTGAGAATTTGTAGGCTTTTGGAGTCACTGGCAGTGACTTTGCTTGACCAGGGTCAAGCAAGGGGTGTGGCACACGATCGCTGGTTACGACCCCCCCCCCCCTGAACTATATATCTAACGAGGAGAGGATACTTAGTCGAAAGCACCAATCCAGATGAAACGTATACCATCTTAGAGCGCTTGGAGCGCTGATTCCAAATCTGCAGTTTCTAGCTGCGGAGCGGTCTTGTAGAGGGAGTTATGAGAGGTGTTTCCCCTGGAGTTGAGGCGCCCTCCACTAGGTCTCCCCCTACCTATGAGCACTGTAGAGGAGTACCAACTGGTGGCAACTGACTTAGCGGTAAGTGACTTGCTTGATAAGGAGAGTGTCAAGGTTTTAATCCCCTTCGCATGCTAAATTGAACTTTTAAATAGCTTTAGAGCCCTAAAACATGAAACTTTTGGTGATACTGATACTAATCGAAGTTAGAAGTGTCAAAAAAACAAAAGTAATATGAGTATTATATTCTTTACTGTAATCTTCATCCAAGTTACTTACCATTAGGTCAGTTGCCGTCAGCTGAAACTCCTCTACAGTGCTTACAGATAAGGGGAGCCCGCTGGAGGGCGCCTAAACCCCAGAGGGGAACACCCTTCATAACTCCTCTTACAAAACCGCTCCGCAGCTAAAGACTGCAGATTTGGAATCAGCGTTTCAAGCGCTCTAAGATGGTGTATGTCTCATCTGGATTGGTGCTTTCGACTAAGTATCCTCTCCTTGTAAGATAGCATTACCAGAGTTGAGAAAGAGGTCGGCCACAAGTATTTCGAAACCCCCCCCCCCTCCCATGAAAGCCCTCAAACGACCCCTTCTTCCTCCTCTTAACCTCTGGACCTCAAAGTGTGACATTCTGGAGGACACCATCTTTTTCTAGAGAGTATTTAGATTTCTGAGAGCTGTACGCCCTATCTTCTGTGACTGCACTTTACAATCACACGTAATTTGACGGCTGATTTTGATCTGAATGGGCATATTGAAAGGGCCGTAATTTTCTTATGGGTGGGGCGTTCGGCTCCAAATTTCCAATGTAGCAAGGAGAAGCTATGTGCTCAATACCTATACCAGCAATGGAGCGCTTTCTGGATTTTGAAGGCAAGTTAAGGGGTGTGCCGCACTTCATTAACTATATCAAGAAAACATTTTTAGCGGACAGTTTTTATACGAATCGATAGCCTAAACCTTGTAGATTCCATAGGACTGTTCCCTGACTTGTCTTCTTAGCTCTAAGTAATATTTGGTGAAAGCACAGCGATCAAAAGCGAAAAATGGGAAAAACGAGATTTTGGTTGGCTTCTAATTCCACAGTTTGCAGGTCTTCTGAAGCGGGATTCCTGAAGTGGACAAAGAAGGAGTAGTGCTTTGTCTTGAGTGCAAAAACGGATAGCTAATTCACCTTTGAAACAAAGTTAACCATGTTGGAATTTGGCCATTTCATTTAGGTAGCCTAGTATCTTGGATCTTCAGAATTCGCTCACACTTTGTTGTTAATTGACATGCTAATTATGGATATGATACGAATATCATGTTATCACTATCAACAGATTACCCAACTACGACCCCCTCCCCTTTTGACTCCTCAATACGACCCCCAGGTGTGGCGTGCCTCACCCCACGCTTGACCCTGGTCACTGCTCGCAAGCGGTGAAAAGCTGCATCGAATTGGATTGATGAATGAAAGGGCAGAAAGGGTTCATATGTAAGTATTTTTGTTTTGTGTGAGAGCGCGACTGAGGTAGTGAGTGACTATAGGAATGGATTCGTCAGAAAATCACAAATAGAAAGACTAAACGAAATCACCCTTGCAATCTGTCCCTTGTCCCTCATAACAGCTACCTCCTCCACAACAATGGGGATTCAATTATGTCATTCAAGACAAAGCACTCATTCCTATCGATTTTCCAACCCAAATGGATCCAAATAAGGCTAACATCTCATTTGAATGTGTAATCTCGTCAACAACGTAAACAGTCCTTTTTTTGCTGTGTCATTCTCCCTACTGCTATCGATTTCACGTGGCCCAAAACATGGTCAGTTCAGTGACTGTTAAAAATTTGTAAATTTTTCGTCTCGCTATTGGATTAGTTCTATGCTGAATAATTTACTGCTTGCTCTATATGCTTGAGTGCATCTTAATTGCTACTGAACTCCATAGTCCATTTATATAGTACGTCCACCCATTGTCGTTCCAAACATAGAGTATATCCCGTCAGCTCGGAGGTATACCTTGTCAGCTCGGCCTTTTAATTCCTCGTAGCCATGGTCAAGTGCACTTGCTTCGCTACTCTTGACGGTTATTCAGGTCGACTTGAGATTGACCGCTATCATGTTTATTCTTTGAAACCAATCATGGTTAGAGGTTCTAACCATGGTCATACCCTCGTCTTATCTATTAGGGATTCGAAGGTCTTCGTCAGTCAACGCAATATCGATTACATCCCAACGTTGGAAGTCGAAATTCAAATGAATACTCGGACGATTATCGAATATCAGAGCAACCATATTTAAAACTTGCTGACATATCCGGCTAGACCTGATTTGATAAATAGCAACCTTACACCTCTGTACCAACTCCCAGCTCGGTAGCTCAAAATTTTCCAAAAATCGGTAGTCGATTAAGTAGATTCTTATTTATATCAGCATCCTCAATTACCCCACTGTACCAATTCCAGCTGCATAGTCCAGCCACTTTGTTCATTACCATTTTGTACTGTGTCTGCACCTACATATTTGAGTTCTGGAAATATTTCAAAAGGTATTTCAGTTGTTTACAAGTATGGAAAAGGGTGCAATTTTTCACTTCAGATTATCGCAATCGGAAGGACGTTCCACCCAAGGTCCGCCACTATTCGGCACCATCCTTTCCCAGGTAGCTGCCTGAGGTAGCATCGTGGTGCCCGCACCTGTGCCGTGCTAGCGCCCTGTCGGAACCCATGTGAACACGCCCCGCTTTGATCGCGATATTCGGCACGGCGCTAGCACGGAGCTGGCATTGGCAAGTCTAGATGCAAAGATCTACTCAGCCCTCTTTGTGTATGATAATGTCCAATTCCCTCAGTTCAGCTTCCACGGAGTTCCTTCAACAGCTCTCGCGAGCTCCGCTTAGAAGTGAGAAAGATTTTTGCAACTGCACCACTAAGGAAATCCGGTCCCACGTATAATCACGCCCTTTTCCAAAATTTTCGAGGTTATACACCTGCAAACAATCAAAAAAAGAATTTTTTAACGGCTTCATCTGAAAATTCTTCAAAATTATTTGAAGTTTTTCTAGCTTTCCTAGTGATAGAAGGGCAATCTGCGCAATTCGTCCGTCTCTCTTAATCAGGGAACCATCCTTTTTCTAAAATTATCGCAATTTGACCGTTACGAATGATGCGAGAGGTGCCCTTATCGGTTTTTATTATTGTGCTGCTCATTGCAATATGTAGAACACAACAAATATGGTGTACAGCAGACAATAAAAGCAATAAAGCAAAATTTACCAAAAACCACAAATTTCTCGATATACGCAAATTTAACCAATGAGGAAACTTAAGAGTTCGGCTAGTAATTAGTAGTAGAAACATTTAGCATGAAAACGCTATTAAATGGATCTGATACAGTAGCAAGTGACTGCGACGTCGCCAATCGCAGATCTGACTGGCGATGATGCCAACTTCCATAGTCACTGTCCCATTTTACGCAGCAGCACACTTTTGAGTGCACCTGCAATTTGCGTAATAGCAAAAAGTACTAGTCTCTAAATGTATTTGTACTACCTTCGTCACAGTTCCCTTCATGACCCGCATTTTATGCTCCACGTGCTTCCACTCATCATAATTTATATTGTTGCTGCTGCAATCCACATCAGTCAATTTTGCTCCAGACACCGCACACTTGGATTTGCCACAGTCCTTTTTACCGTTGTGCTCATACCTTGAAATATGTCACCTTGGTTCGGAAAAAGATGTTGGTAGCTCTATCTGGGGTAGACTATACTGTAGGGAATCCGATACAATAAAGCATATACCTACTTCGTCAAGTCCGCTGAGTTAAATAATTTGAATTTAGCATTCCCTCACTCTGCACTAACAAGGGAAGGATACTCGGTCGAAGTGGCCATTTGGAATGAGCTGTATACTAGGAAACCGTCCTCCGTAAGGCAAACTCAAAACTACTTTCGCTAGGTGCCGAGCGGTTTTGTGGGGGAAGTTACAAGTCCATTTTCTTCCGACGCAGCCAGCGCACCCAGTGATGAGCGAGGCGCTAGAATAACGCATCAGTGTGGCAGTGGCGCAGTGGCAACGCAGCGGACTACGAAGCAGATGGTCGAGGGTTCGAGTCCTGTTGCTGCTACTCTGTTTTGCAGTTCTGTAAAAAGTCTATTGGGTGACAGCAAACGAGAAATACTACTTCTAGGCAGTCGAAACAAGCTAGTTACTGCAAAAAAGCCACTATTTCTGCAATAAGCTATAATCTTACAAAATATGTAAATCTGTGGAGGTTATGATGTCACACAATGGGTTCAAATGATATATTAACATGTATGGAATACAACCACAAAATGCTCAAAGCAGAAGAGCTTCTCGCAACGCGCGCACTTGCAAAATTGCAATCGATTCACATCCCATTTATTGGCTCTTGATCTGAACTTTACTTTGCATCATAGGGATACCATCCTTAAGATCTTATCGCTCATTTACACCCAATTTTGCTCGCCTCGATTCAAAAATTTGCCTTCATACCCATGGATGCAGCCGGATACATTGACAACCACCCCGGCGAATTCGAGTCTCCTATTCAGTACTGTTTTTCACCGACTTTGATAGGCAATTGTGAAGCTGCTGATTGTCATCGTTTTATTTTATCCGATGAACGCGTTGCGAGAAGCTCTTCTGCTTTGAGCATTTTGTGGTTGTATTCCATACATGTTAATATATCACTTGAATCCCTTGTTGTGACATCATAACCCCCACAGATTTACATATTTTAGAAGAATATAGCTTATTGCAGAAATAGTGGCTTTTTTGCAGTAACTAGCTTGTTTCGACTGCCTAGAAATAGTATTTCTCGTTTGCTGTCACCCAATAGACTTTTTACAGAACTGCAAAACAAAATAGCAGCAACGGAACTCGAACCCTCGACGATCTGCTTCTTAGTCCGCTGCGTTGCCACTGCGCCACTGCCACACTACTGCGTTATTCTAGCGCCTCGCTCATCACTGGGTGCGCTGGCTGCGCCGGAGGGAAATGGCCTTGTAGCTCCCCCCCCCACAAAACCGCTCGGCACCTAGCGAAAGTAGTTTTGAGTTTGCCTTACGGAGGACGGTTTCCTGCTATAGAGCTCATTCCAAATGGCCACTTCGACCGAGTATCCTTCCCTTGTAAGATATGGCGAAACGACGCGGGCTTCAGTCTACTCCGGTGGTGGTCACTTTTTTGACAAATAAAAAAATCCTTAACTCTCACCTGGCAAAAGATTTCCATTTTGCTTGCACCGCGCTCTCCTTCCACATGACGTGATCGCCTACGCGCAAGGGTGCGTCCATCGCGCTCTCCATGTCCCAGTCGCCTCCGTGCCCGTGTGTGCACATTTTGGTAAACTTAAAAAATTGTGAAACTGCAAGTGTGCCTATAGATTAAATTTGATGAAACCGTCGGGACCCTGCAACTTGGTTCAAAACAACCTTTACTTTTTGAAGCAAAGGATACGAGTATTGCGGTAAAGCCATGAAAGATGGATTTTTTTTACATTTTCGATTCTATTCATCACCACTCAGAACACTGACAAAACACGCTAGAAATCAAGAAAACTACCCATAAACAAATGCGAGGTTGGAGCGTTTTTATTGCAACTCCATCGGAATCTTTCAAGAGGCAGCTTCTTGTGCAAATTTTTTGTTCTGTCAGTCCCTGTCTGTTGCTGTTCCAAGTGACCAATAATATGAAAAAATCAACTTCTATTGAGATTAGCACGCAACGAAATTGTCGCAAATTTTCCTTCGCGGGCGGATCCTTCAAAACCCTTTATATAAAAGTAAATTCCAAAACGGTTTTTTTTTGAACTCCTATTTCCAATGGCTTTCCAAAAGTTGATTTAATGGCCAACCCGAACTTGTGATAGTCAAGCTGAACCAAGCTACGGGTCCCAGCGGTTTCGCTTTTCCACCCGAATTGCAGCTTCAAAGTAAAGCAATGAACCCACCTCTGCCCCCATTCCAAGACTTCCTCCAGCGTCATGATCTGTCGTAACAGCAAAAGTAAAATCATCGAAGAATGTTTCAAAAGGTGTTCCACCAAAATTGGTTTGCATACGCTCGCCAAATGCGAAAAACTCTTTCTCTGCCTGGAACTCATTCTCGTATAACCTTATTACAGAAGACATAATTAAGAACAAAGCTGATAGATGGGCTTGTTCTAATAAACCGACTATGTCAGGGCAAAAGTGGTCTGTGTTTTCACATTTTCATATCCACCTAAGCGGGTTGGCGGAGTAAAACATGACTCTTATACACGGCGATCACTCCCAAGGATTGTCTTCCTCTTTTCGCACCCCGCTCTAAAAGTCTTGCCCATTGAAGATAGGGCCACAAAGCATGTTGTTGCGCCCGGAACCCACGCTACCTCGCGACTAAGGCACGCGCTATACTTAACCCATTTAATTCACTTACTCTACTTAATTCACTTCGTTATTGGTCGAATTAGTGAACTGACCAATAGCGAAGCGGATGAAGTGGATCAAGGGAATCATGGTCCGCTTCGCTATTGATCAGTTCACCGATTTGACCATTAGCGGAGTGATCACTTGTATCAGGCGGTTTGAGGCAGCGTCCCGGCAAAATGATAGGTGTTAAGGTATCACAGCGTTGTAGTAGGTGAACCTCCCAGATAGTATGTCAGAGAATTCTGGAGCAAAAAAAGCGCATGTGGAAGGCCTAATATCCATTCCAAAAGTCTTTTGGGCCCGCCTCCTCGTTCCGGGCCCCGCCCACTTACACGTTATTCTGAGCGAACGCGGGCATGAAGAGCTTCGAGAAAAGCTCATTTTGAGCATTTGCAAGCGCTAGAAACACAGATACGGATTCAGCATAACCAAAAGGCTCTGAGTGAAGAACCAGGAGGCGAGATTTTGCCGGGACACTGCCTTCAAGGGTGCATCTCTCCAAAATCCCTTTTTTTCAAAACTTTTGTGAGAGCTGTGGACGAGAGCGCCTTGCGCTGTTCTTGTCACAAGAAGCAGATCAGACGGTAGCTTTCAAAGTGCTCGCCTTGTGAAAAGTGTGTCAAGGTGTGAGGAGATTTCGTTCGAGGAGGTTGCCTCACCAAAGTAAGCGGTTCTTGGCGGATGTTGTAGTTTGTGGGACGATTTTCTCCAGTCTGTACGGATGTTCGGAGGTCGGGTTTGCGCGATAGTTGATCGAGGCCCTAGCACTCGACTATGATAGTAGCCAAGAATGACCAAATCTACCCGGACGCTGCCTTCAGACAATCTTCCCCAACTGTGCTGAAAAAAAGTACTAATTTTGCATTTTACCCTTACTTTTCGCTCCTGAAATACGCTTTGAATGCAGTGTTTGAATCAAGAACAAAATGCCAAAGAAAGCCAGACATACACTAGTAAGAGAATTGCTTGAATGTCCTTAGACAATGAACAAATCAGTGCAAGCCGGACTCTTCCTTTCTACATGAAAGCACCCAATAGACACATATAGAAATTGTTCAGAAGACGGATTCAACAACTTGTAACGCTGATATAGTTTGAGAGATGGTTAAAGGCAGATCTCGGCAGAATGAGACCTCTGACAAAAGAACATCCCAGGGTAGGAGCCCCATAATGGAACCTACGGGCCAAAGTTGGAACCAGGCATCCTCTCAAATTTCTTGAACTTGTATGCGTTCTTGAAAGAAAGGTTTGTAAATACTAGAAAAGGATGAACAATCTCAAATTTGTCCTGTTTCACTGTGTAATCTTCCCAAAGTTCTGCATCTTTGTGCGCATACCATGAATTCCATTTTCTTAGCAATTTATTTATTTATTTATTTATTTAGATGCACTTAGAAGTGCGCCAAAAAAGAGCAGAAAACACAGCAGATAACCAATCGACCACACACCCAGTACACTAGCAGGGGAAAAGCCAGACGCGTATGTATGTATGTATGTATGTATGAAGCAATTTCCCTCAGACATGGAGCATGTGGTCCATCTATCTAATTTATCTCCGTCTTGAGTTTTTTTCGCACAGCTGCAAATAGAAAAAATCTGTACAACCAATGTCAATCACGTGCTCCCTTTTCGGTAAACTTAACAAGCTTCGCGCCACATTCACGCGCGTATGACTCCGAACATTCAAATGGGCATCATCGATTGGGGGTTCGCGCAGGGCCCTTGCATTGCATGCGTAGTTTCCATGCGAAAGGGAATACTTAATTCAAATTGAGTGTATCTCGTTGCGCGCCTAGTCTTGTTTTTGTTTGAGTTCACGCAGCACCTTCTAGAAATTTTCACTTTAGAGAGCTGAGCGAATATGTCACCACGGATAATAAAGGGTTATAGCAAATGAACTGTAAACCTGGATGGTTTGCACTTGGTGGTACGATTGCTCCAATATTCTACAGTTATAGTCAGAACCGCCAGTGCTCAGAGCAAAGTTGAACGCAAGCATCTTGGGTATTTGCTTATTCAGAGATTGTGGGTTGCAGAGTTGGTATCGGGAATTGGCGGGATAAATACTTCGGTGATATCGCATCAAATATTTTACGTTTCAATGCTTTATCTTGATATATCGAAATACATCTGAATATTTGACCGAGCCGCATAGAGCTCACAAAGCTCAGTTCATATCATGAACAGTGCTGAAGTAATAAAAGAGAATGTAGTAGGTTGGCGGATGATTTCTGTTACCCTTTTTTGTAATATTCTGAAAAATTCCAGAAGTCCTTTAGAATCTTCAAAATTGCTCCATAGTTGGCGTACACTATAGTATGAATGATGCCGCAAATGCACAAATAGCCAGCAAGTTTACGACAACTTCATAAGCACACTCAAAATTGTCATTTTTTGAATTTGTTTCTTTGCATTCAATTGTTTTTCTCTTTCAGTTTTTTAGAACATATTTTCGCATCTTCTTTTTTCTGGCGGCACTTTGGTGCCGCTAGCACGCCAAAAACAAGGGGTGAAAAACAAATCAAAAAACAAAAACTAGTTAAAAAATTTTCTTTATGTGTGCATCGTGTAGGATTTGAGGATTTGATACGGAGATATCGGGAAGAGTTTTTGTAAATTTTTAAAAATAGCTCTTAACGAGGGAACGCGAATGTGCGCTGACATGGTCCAATGTAGCTCATATGATTGTGCGAACATGATTGTGCCATCCCGCTACATTCGCTAATAACTGTGAACCATGCCTTGCCCAAATACGACATCGCTCAGTCTCTTCCCAACCTGGATCAATGCCAGCCCGCTGACAAAAATGTCCATAAAACGCGCTCCCACCGGCAAAGTGGGTATTTGCACACGGACCGCGGATGTGACAGTACCGGCGGGTAGACTTTTGCACCACGTCAACACTCCTCAAACATAAGAATTCGCGAAGGTTTCTCAGATTTTTCAAGAAATAGAAATGAAAGTGTAAAAGAAATTAATCGCCACCCTGATATTCACAATTATAAACAAGTTACTTGCACGCTTTTATAAGCCATATAAGTAACTTTCAAAAATTCACGACCATTTTCGGGGGGGGGGGGAGAAGGTCGCCACTGCTCAGTGATTGTAGTAACAATTTGAGTTTGATCCTTGAGAACTCGAATGAAGGGTTTCCATTGTCGTTGAAAGTGGGTCAATTGATTTTAAGATAGAAAAATACTCATCAATTCGCATTGAAGGAAAGGAAAGTTCTTTTCTCTCTGCAATAAAGAGGGAGTAGGGTTAATTTTCCCCATTGCAGACACAGAGTTTGCGGCTATTTGAGTTACTTGTACGGCAACGCATTCAAACTGGTCGATCGCTCAAAGATTAAGCTAGAATTTCTTTGTTGATAAGAAAACGCACTTCCTGGTTCAGCCGTGAATGGGGACATTATCACCGTGAAGCACTGCGGCCTGTGATGTCTCTGTTCTTTAGACTGAAGGCTATCATCTGTGCTGCATACACCGATGGCACCCGCCATACTTGATCCGCTTGATCCGCTTAATCCATTTGATCCGCTTGATCCGCTTAATCCGCTTGATCCGCTTCGTGCAAAACGCGCGCACCTGCAGTTTGTCATTTGACGTCGCGTACAGCGAAATTGCGTAACCATACGAAATTCCTTTTTCCCTACGCGGCGTCAAATGACAAACGCAGGCGCGCGCGTTTTGCACGAAGCGGATCAAGCGGATTAAGCGGATCAAGCGGATCAAGTGGATCAAGCGGATCAAGTATGGCGGGTGCCGATGGGGTCTCCAAAGTGAATAACCTCTAGTCGATAGGATAATCTAGATAGGGAAATCTGGCAAATTAGACCAGTAATTTCAGGAAAATTGGCTTCACCAAACGGGTCGGTTGGTTCTTTGATTATAGTGCTCGTGCGGTTTCTCTTTAATCGCTCACAATGAAGATAGATCAGTGACAAGACTGTCTTGGCCTCCTCAGCCGACTACTGACGCGCATGAATGGATCAACGAGATTTTAATTGTCTCTAACTACTATCTAGCGAAAGCAAAGCCAAGTAAACGTGCTTGGTGGAAATGGCAAGAAAGAAGGCCTTGTTGAGTTTGACTTTTCGACATTGTAAAGAGTCATGAGAGGTGTGACATTGTGGGAGACTCCCTATGCCAATGAGATACCACCACTTCCATCAATTCTCCACTTATTAAGAAGAAGCTTGAAATTCTGCTCTTCATTCTTTGTAATATATTGAACAAACACCCTCTAGCGTTGCGAACCTCGCTGAGACAATGTCAGGCGGGAAGTTTGACTGGGAGAGTACACCTGTCAAACCGTAACTCCGTTGTCTGATGCTAGCGCAGAGTGCGCGGAAACCTTTCATAGAGCAAAAGAGCAAAAGCTTGCTTGATCTTGACTTTCAGTACTTACAGTGTGAAAGTACAGCCTATCGCAGCCTCTTTTGAATCCAGATAGTTTCTGGTCAGAAATGTTACCACAGGGATAACCGCTTGTGGCAGCCAAGCTCCATAGCGAACTGGGACATGAGCTGAGTTTAGGCCGTCATGAGAGAGGTGAGTTTTACACTACCCTTAACTATTGCGATTGTAATCCTGCTTAAACTTGATCGATCGGTCCATGGTCCGAAGCTAACATCGAAGCTATTAGGTTGTGTGATAAGTTCTGTCCCATTTTCTTTCGATTTTTTTCTCAATATTTTGCGCGATATTCTGCAAAATGTTTACATGCATTTAAAAGCACTAAGCCTTCTCTACTAAAACTTTCATTTCAGCTCTCTACATCAGAAGACTTGAAAAAGTTTTACAGCGTCGGATTTGAAATATGAAACAGGGAAAAATCCATTTTCGACAATTACGTTACGTCGCCCTCCAAATTAGTCAGAATGCCTACAAATAAGCCCGAAAAATTTGCTACACGTGAGCCGAGAATGCTACGTTTCTATTCCGCTTCAGGAGTGCTAAACTTTCCGAAAATCATTTCTGTAAACTTTAGAAAAGTCTTCTTTCTAACGCCTTTACAACGTTGAGTTGGGCATCATATGAAGGCATCCTGAGGGAGGACGGTAGGAGGATCCTCCAGAAAAGACAAAAGGGATGGTTTATGGCTTCAAAATTAACGAATTCGTAGGCTGAGTTACTTAAAATCGAATTTTGGGAGCCACGCAGCTTGGTTACGCGAGACGGCGAACATTGCCGTGATAAAGTCTTGCTTTGCCGACTTTTGGAAAAGTGTCATTAAATATTTGTGGAAGGAAGGGAGCAAGCACAAACAATGATAGAATAAGCGTAAGAGTCCAACAGATTGTTTTGCTTGTTGTCAAGCATCTTTGATAAGTTTTACCAATGAAGAACGAGACAAATTTGGAGGAAAAAAGGTGTCGAAAATTGATTTTTAGGCTCTTCGGATTTTTCAATGATAAAAATCTTTTTCATTTTCTTGCTAGGAGAATGATGCATGTGAAGGGAGCAAGCACAAAGAGCAGACTTAGAGCTTTCAAAAGCATATGCACTCTATGTCAAATATGATCAGTGTTGTCGAGAAAAAACTAAAGCAAAAAATGAGATAGAACTTATTACACGTCCTAATATTATGATCAAACTCCTCTAAGTCAGAATCCAACCTAATTAAGGTAGTAAATTGTGAAAATATTTACCTGGTCAAAATCGAAGCCGCCTTTGTCGAATAGACTAAGGGAATTCATAATGAACGCGGATGGTTCGAACTTGGCTGTATATATATCAGTAGGGGCGGAGTGTTTCCATAAAAATTGCGGAGATAGCTTTATCGAAAGCGCTGCCCGTTATGTGGGTCTTACGATCTTATGACACATTTTTTGATTGCCGATAAAACTACACGCATTTAGAAGAGCACGGGAAAGAAGATAGACCACTACTTGTCATAACTGCAACACTTTGTAATGAGCAGATTTTTCGGAACAATTACCGGGAAGAGTGTCATGAACTTACTTCAAGAATTTTTTGTGTCAGCGGATTTTAACGAATTTCGCGTTGAGAGCACCACAGCTAAGCACGTACTCATTGAAACTGCTCAGAATTATACGATTAATGCATTACAAGTGCACCTCTGTTTCGCAGAGGCTCGCACTAGTTCTACTATCTGAATGCCCTAATCATTCTCGCATAATGATGGCATCAAAACTCACCGTGCAATGCCGACTATCACCAATAAAATGTAAACAAGTACTCATTCTGAAAGCTTTTTCATGCGAACCCGGTGGTTTTGAGTGGAGGAAACTTTTTGCTGAAGAACAGACACAAATTTGAATAGTTCTTTGAGTTGTTCAGTGTTTTGGTAGTCGCCTAAAAAACAATGATTACCGTGAGGCTACATCTTTGCGCAAAAATCTTGTCGAACGCTCTGGCAAAAACTTGGCAAATTGACCACACACACACACACACACACACACACACACACACACACACACACACACACACACACACACACACACACACACACACACACACACACACACACACACACACACACACACACACACACACACACACACACACACACACACACACACACACACACACACACACACACACACACACACACACACACACACACACACACACACACACACACACACACACACACACACACACACACACACACACACACACACACACACACACACACACACACACACACACACACACACACACACACACACACACACACACACACACACACACACACACACACACACACACACACACACACACACACACACACACACACACACACACACACACACACACACACACACACACACACACACACACACACACACACACACACACACACACACACACACACACACACACACACACACACACACACACACACACACACACACACACACACAAACACACCGAACAGACATTCAGCTTTATATATAAGATCATAACGGCAATTAAAAAAAACATCAGACAGCAGGAAACCGCGGCGAGTCCCGAAGCGCGCGCCTACTAATCTAGCAACTTTAGATTGCTGGTTCACTAGTAGGAGAGTGAAACCCTGTAATTTGAATAGGCTACATCGCAGCTATCAAAACAAATGATCGCTTTTCTTGGAGGTGAATCCAATAATTACATCGTTTACCTTGCACACATTTGATGAGCCACAGCTTCTGTTAGCAATCCACTTCTTATCGTTGGGCGTTTCATGTGGCTCAATATATGTCTTGAAGCAATATTTACAGTCATCACAATCCATCTGGAGGGCACTTGTGCTAAGAGCAGTGAATCAATCAAATTTCAAAATACTCACCCATGATTTCACGGGATTCAAGTCGTCACTTCTGTCAACGTAGTAGTAACAGCGAACTGCACACACAACACGTAAACACTCTTAGCCCGTTATTATAACTCATGATATTTCATCGTTGAAGGTCACGTAAAGGAGAACGGATTATGCAACTTTACCTCATTCGATGGCATCATCTTCAGTATGTCAGGTCGCTGGCCGCATTTGTGACATGAGGAGGAAGGAAAAAGCGAGTATATACCCGCTCGGTGGGCATATACCAGCCAAGTGGGCATATGTCCGCCGGCCTTACCTAAAAATTGAATTTGCTTGTAATTCACTTCAAAATGTAGCTTGGAGTCTGAAATGTGCAAAAAAAAAACAAGAAAAAACGTGTGCATGACAAACGGTCAAGGGAAGCCATGTGGTGAATTTGGGGAAATTCTGTAAATCCTTATCAATGATATGATTAACTTATCATTTGTCGCTGATAACACCATAAAATCAAATTATTTTTGGTTTATGGTAAGAAACATAGGAAGCTCTGTGCAAAATTTGATCGACCCATCTTACATAGCAATTAAGTTACAAGCTTTTCTATTTCCATTGCTCATTCGGTGCAGCTGGCGAATCCTTCGCTGCGGTAATTGATTGATTGCCTAGCATGCACATGCCACTGCTGCTCCATTTTTGGAGGCTTGGCTCTTTCAGAATCCCAGAACTCCGTAACAAATAGACGAATTGCATTGGGATAAACACCATTGAACAGAGCTTTTCCCATAGAAACTTTCTTTCCATGGCTGTCCACTATTTTTGTATTGCGATTGCGAAAATTGCTTTTGAAACGAAAAATCTACAAAATTGTGCTTCCTTGCCTGACTTGACGTAATTATGATACCATCTTTGGGATTCTCGAGGAAAGTTACCGATATATGGCTCTTGCGCTCTCTAATAGTCAAAAATAAGTTTTTGGGAGCAAAAACACCTCAACAACACAGTTTTTCGTTGCTGCAGCTGTTTAAACATCTGCAACTTGATCAGTCCTGAACGCAACTTAACGAGTAAAAAAGCATTCGATAGAGTTCTTCCTGATAAATCTTATAGTCCCCATTGCACTACCAAGATCTGTCAGTGAAGTGCTCAAAATCGCTTTCAAAATGATCAATTTGAAAACATATCAATCTCAGTGAAGCCTTTGAATTCTCCACCCCAGTGTCGTTTTTGACCGATTCGCATAGTCTGGATGGAAGACGAATAGCGATTTTGTTAGACGGTAGATGGTAATTTTGTATGAATGTAGACATTTCAAAAATCTACAGTGCAGCGCGTTTTCAAAATAGAACGGCGAGGTGAAGACTTGATAGAGTACTGAAAATACAAAAAATTTTGCTTGGGGTTGTTTAATGGGGAGCTTAGGGAGCTGGGGTGAGGGGAGCTTACAGTTTACAGTAAAGTAGTCAAGATATTGCATATTTGCGTATGCTTTGAAAATTCACGATTCAGCCAATTTTCAAGCCAAGGAGTAAAGACAGAATGGTAATCGAAGCGTAGAATACAAATGACTATGTTTCAGGTTAATTTACTGTGGCTGCGGCTTAGAGTTCATAGTTATGGAGCGTATATTTTGAATTGCTGTAAATCTCCTAAATTACATGCTGGAAAGCGCAAAGAAGACAATATGAAGCGATTGGAGGAAAAAATACATACATTGGTTTTTCAGTAACATTAAAAGTGGGCAAGTCTTACAGTTCACAGCTGCATAGCGCAAAAATTCAAGACTCTTCAAATCTGCTAAATTACAGGCTAGGAAGCTCAAATAAAGACTATTTTGAAGTTATGAAAGGAAATATACATACATTGGGTTATAAATAGTAACATTAGAAGTGGGCGGGGCTTACACTTCACAGTTAAACAGCGTATAATTTCAAAATTCTTGAAATCTGCCAATTTACATGCTGGAAAGCCCAAATGAAGGCCGATATTTTGGAGATTGTCGAATTTCCAAAATCTATACAATGGATAAAATCGACATTATGGAGATCTTGCAACCTCCAAAATATTGATTTTTATCGATTTTTATTGATTTTGGAGGTATATCAACCTCTGAAATATCAATTTTTATCGATTTTGTTTATTTTCGAGATTTTGGGGATTTTGAAACCTTCTATCTTATCAATTTTCAAGATTTTGTAATGTTGAGAACACCAACTTTACTCGCCTTGGGATTTCGCAACCTCAAAAACCTCGATTTCCGGAGGCTATGGGCACTTCTCTAACAAGGGAAGGAAGGCTGGTCGAAGTGGCCTTTTGAAATGAGATGTATACTGTCTTGTAGAGCTTGGAACGCTGATTCCAAATCTACCTTTGCTATCTGCTGCAGGCTTCTGGGCGAGGAGTTATGAAGGTTTTTGTGAGTAAAAATCTGAATGCAAGAGCAGGCTAAAATCATTCGTAACTTTTTTATTGGGTTTAATTGGTAGTCGGGTCATTCTCGGTGCAACAAATATTCTTGATTCAGATGTACCAGTTCGCTGCTGCCTCATTTGAACATTGGGAAAAGGTTACGACTGGTTGTACCCTATTTTTGCATTCAGATTTTTACTCACAAAAACCTTCATAACTCCTCGCCCAGAAGCCCGCGGCAGATAGCAAAGGTAGATTTGAAATCAGTTTTCCAAGCTCCACAAGGCAGTATACATTACATTTCAAAAGGCCACTTCTTTCCCTTGTAAGCTCCGCCCATTGCCAGAAGCCACGTCCAAGCGTCCACTCAGCCGCCGTTGTGCAATCTCCAATACCCTTCGACCACACAGAATTGCCTTCAATTCTCCAAAACCTCTTTCCCCAAGGCTCCACCCATTTTCTGAGGCCCTGCTCCTTCCCAAGATCCAGCCCATTCAACCACAAGCTTCACCCACTTTGCCCTTAACAGCCAAAACTTACCCATTGTGAGGCACCATAGCATCTTCACCGTCCACTGCAAAGCAAATCTACCGACCAAGGCACGCCCCCCACTTTACTCAAAACACCTTCAAGTGAATTTCACCCGTCCCCTCCGCCCACCTGCACTCTATCCACACAAACTGAGTGGTTAAAGTGCAAATTGAGTTAAATTCGAAGAAGCGCAACAGAAGCTCACTTCCAACTCTTTTATACCGCTATAACTGTTCACAAGCTCCATCCACCTTCACACCCCACCCAGGAATGAAAATTGAGAAAATAAGCGAAAATAAGAAGGAATCAAGTGAAAATCACGCTCCTTTAACCCTATCCTTCTTTATAGCCCTTTTCAGGCCCCTAACACTTTCCAGATGGCCGCCGAGTAACTATCACACACGTGGCAATAATAAAGAGAGGGGAAAAATGAGGGGGAGAAAGAGGAAAAATCTCGTAGCCAAAACTAAAGAAACCAAGTCCGGGAACTTTATAGATGGGCTCCCACAAACGGAGCCCTCGGTTTCTCTGCGAATTATAGATGGTGTCCCCCTCGAATACAAACTGGAACATGGCTATCCCAGCCCGTTTCTACTCTCTGCGGATATAAAATTCAAAATATGCATCATCGCTATATATAGCGCTTCCTACGCAGGAGCTAGCACGCGTTACCCCCCCCCCCCCCTAGAAAAATGGAACTACCAAAACTACATGTCAATGACCACATGACTTAGCCTAGCCCTGCAACCCGTAGAGATATAAAAGCGCAAACTCGCCCTTATTGAGAGATTTCCCAAGTTGTCAATTATGAAATTTTACTGGAAACTTGCTCTTCTACGACATTCTCTCTAAAAATCATACTTTCAGAGATCTGTCCAAAAAAACAAACTTTAGCCCCATATCTATAATAATCAGAGCTATTAGTCCCTCTACATGCATGCTCAAACCGTGTCGACTCCTCCAAATTTGCCCCAAAAATCATGTTAGACACCTCTTTCATAGATATACACAACTTATTTGCAATCTTTTAGAAGCAATACAACTGGTATAGCGATTTTTGACGCTTCAATCCCATGGAGGGGACCCGTCGCGGGCGCAGCTGTCGCAGTTGTCCGTGACTTTTTTGGTAAAAATACATGTCCGTGATTCCGTGATCCGTGAGCCGTGATCCGTTAATATCTTATATATAAAGATGAATGTCTGTTTGTATGTCTGTCTGTCTGTCTGTCTGTATGTATGTATGTATGTATGTGTGTACGTATGTTCCGAATAGAAAATTCCATTTCTGAACCGATCCGGACCAAACTTGGCACACAACCACTTCGGGCAACGGCGGGTGTCATAGGCTACTTTTCGTCATCGATCAATATCGATTTTATCGATTTTTATCGATTTTTTTGCTGAGTTCACCTACGGGGCTGGGAGTTGGCACAGGGGGGTAATCGAGCATGGGGATTCCGAATACAATATTGGCTTTCAGGCTTATCGATTACTTTTATCGATTTTATCGATTTTTTTGCAAAGTTTGAGCTAGGGGGCTGGGAGTTGGCACAGGGGGGTAATCGAGCATGCTGATCATCCCCAAGGGGGGTGATCAGCACGCTCGATTACACCCCTGTGCCAAATTCCAGCCCCCTAGCTCAAATTCTCAAAAAATCGATAAAATCGATAAAAGTAATGGACGATCTTGAGAACTAATATTGTATTCGTAATCTGCATGCTCGATTACCCCCTGTGCAAACTCCCAGCCCCGCAGGTCAAACTTTACAAAAAAATCGATAAAATCGATAAAAGTAATGGACGATCCTGAAAACTAATATTGTGTTCGTAATCAGCATGCTCGATTACCCCCTGTGCAAAATCCCAGCCTCGCATGTCAAAATTTACAAAAAATCGATAAATTCAATAAAAGTAATCGATAATTCTGAAAACTAATATTGTATTCGGAATCCCCATGCTCACTTCCTCCCCCCCCCCTGTGCCAACTCCTAGCCCTCTAGGTGAACTCTGCAAAAAAATCGATAAAAATTGGTAAAATCGACATCGATCGATAACGAAAAGTGGACTGTGACACCCGCCGGGGCCCGAAGTGTATGTGTGCCAAGTTTGGTCCGGATACGGCGGAGCCGCTCAACAATCGACGGGGCAGGCGGACACCGGAAAAATATATTGCTGATCTCTCGCACCCCGCTCGCGGATTTTTTGGAAAGCAATCAGGACTTTTCGGAAGACCGCTTGCTGAGTTCTCGATTCCTCAGAGATTCAGCAATATATCTGCAAAAGATAAGAGCGAAAAAAATTCAATAGGCGGTCTCTCAAAAATCCGCTGACTCAGCAAGCGGTCTTCCGAAAAGTCCTGGTTGCTTTGCAAAAAATCGGCGAGCGGGGTGCGAGAAATCAGCAATCTATTTTTCCGGTGCCCGCCTGCCCCCAGCGATTGTCTGAGCGGGTAAGCCAGCTAGTCTAGATATAATACCGCGAGCCGTGATTTATTTTTTGCAACCATGATCCGTGATTTTCAATTGATTTTTTTCTTCTTCAATAAGCCAATGGAGTTCAGGCTAGCATAAAATTCAGATCTGTGTTAATTGCTTCGATCCAGCTAGCTACTGGCCCATGTACAGAAAGCCTCTGATGGGATAAATCGATTACAGTCGCTAGTGATATAGCGCAAATGCTGTGTTGACCTTCTAGGCACTGTAACAGAACAAGTGCAACTGGCCGAGCGTGTCGACCTTTTCTGGTGATAAAGTAGCGCGGCAGCCGGCCAGTGATGTAAGCATTTGACCTCGCCGCAGACTAATAATATTTGCGCGCCACGGTCTAGCAAATGCATTAGTTGCGCATACTGACTTTTTATGATTGTGATAGGCGTTTAGCAACAACAGTCGTGACCGTTATCTGCCACAATGTCTACTCTTAAGTAATCTGGTTTAATACACTAGTTACCTAGGGCGTATCACTATCTCAAGTCATACAAACATGTTTCCATCTGAAAAACATAGTAACATTGAAGATCTCGCTCAGATCAACGAAATTGCTTTCGGAAAAAAAACTTATTTTTCCGACTTTTGATAGAGTATCACTCTGCTTTTGCCATCCACGGCGACTAGGTCCTTATAAAGGTCGTTTACTATTCGTATCAAATTTATTTATCATAGCTCCAAATACGACCGTACATTCGACCGATCGCATTGGAAGAAAGAAATGAAATATAGTTCCAAATTGATAAAATTTCAAGAAAAGTTCAATCAAACCTAGCAGCAAGTTAACTTCTCCCATAGCATTTGTAAGGAAAGGATGTAATAAAGATCAATGAGTTTCTACTGGTCTTCTCTTCCATTCAGAAACGAAATAAAGTTAACCTCTCAAATGCGCATTTTTTTCAATCTGGAGTGCACCATCTGGGTGTACTATTGAGCACAACTCAGACAATCGATCGGACCCCTCCGCCGGACCCTCGGAAACTGCCAGGGTCGCGCCGGACCCAGTTGACCAATGAGAGAAGGGCAAATGGGCGGTCCATCGCGGTGGCATCACTGGCAGGCAAATGGGAGGCTTCTCCGGCCCTGCTGCAAAGGTCCGCCATTTCTCCGGCGCGACTCTGCCAGATTTGACGGACTCCGCGCCGCAGAGGTCTGCGCGGCGCGTGTCCGCCAAATTTGGAAGACACGCGCCGGAGAAAATCGGAGGGGTCCGGAGCAGAAATGGGGGGGGGGGGTATCCGGAGCAGAAAATGGGGGGTATCCGGAGCAGAAAATGGGGGGTATCCGGAGCAGAAGATGGGAGGTATCCGCCGGAGAAATGGGAGGTATCCGGAGCAGAAAATGGGAGGTATCCGGAGCAGGCTGCGTATCGATTTGGCGCGTAGCAAGCAAACGTCTAAACTCCACGGTGATGAGTCCTCTGTTTACGCTCTTTGTCCATATTTTAGTCGCCGTTTCTTTGATTTTGTTGTTTTTGCGCGTTTCTTTACCGTTTTTGTTCTTTTCCGCGTTGCGGGGAGTTTAGATATATGAGTTGTGCATGTGTGTGGATTTTGCAGATGCTATCTCTTTGTTTTTGCACTTTCCGTGAGGGCATTCCAACAGCACACTGTTCAGTAATCTGTCCTAGCAAGCTCTATCTGAGTAGAAATTGCTAAAGTAGTTGATTTTTAAAGTATTACCGAATAATCTTTGACCTACTGGGTGCTCGGTTTTGTGCAGTATTTTCTATCCAGTTCTTAGATTATCTAGTGCTTTGATGCTTTCTTTATGATTTAGGGTTCGATTTGATACCAAATCGGAATTTGAAAATCATTCGCGTGGGGCTACCGTTTTTCGCGATTGTTGGTGTTGGTGCTTACGTTCTACATTACTTTCAACAAGTTCGATACGATTTTCGTAAACTGAAGCAGCAAGACGTCAATCTAGAAGATCTGGTTCGTTCTCTGGCCATCCATTCGTTCTCATTTCCCCATCGTCCGCCAATTTACTTACTTGCATCAGTTTCCTGAAATGATGTTTCGTGTATTTGGCAAACGTATTCTTGTTGCAGCAATGCTTTTCAAGCTTGTTTTATTCCAGAGAACTGACTTTGAAAAGCGCGGTCTGAAACTTCGGCTCCCGCCAGAGTGCCGAAGTTATGCCAGCGCTACGCCAGCATTTCGATCGATACATGTGTATTTCGTTGGGGACGTCAGCTAGCCCCGCCCAACGAAATACACGTGTATCGATCGAAATGCTGGCGTAGCGCTGGCATAACTTCGGCACTCTGGCGGGAGCCTCCGGAAAAACGTGACTGTGGACACCGTGTACAAGGTGAGAATTTGTAAGTCATTGATGTCCTTCTTGTCTCTATGGTTGAAATTTGTAGGAGGTAGCGAATCTCGACACGGAGCACTGGGAGAATATCAGAGGGCCTCGAGAGTTCGAAGATATCGCAGAATACGAGCAAATAAAGTATGTCATTGTGTGGGTACTTCGAATGCTTGCTTTACAATTTCAGAGCTCGCCAAAAGGAGGAAAATAGAAGATTGCGTGAGCAGCGCCTGAAGCAGCTTGATGACGGAGCAGATTCCCGAAGACCATCTTCCGAGGTCTTTTCATCTTTTTTGTTTTAAAGCCCCTCGTTATTCTATTCTCTAAATTCCTTCTTTGATCTCAGAGCTCCTCTAACGCTACCCTTGACGTCGGAGATAATCCTCCAGAACCCGATAACGCATCCATTAGAGCTGAACGAGGTGAGCGCCGTTACTAATAGGCTAATAGGTTGTTCCCATTAAAATCTTAGGCAGGTGCCAGACTTACTCAGTTCAATCGGTTCAGCAGGTTCATTCACTCCATTCGCTATTGGACAGATCATCGAGTTGTTTAATAGCGAATGGACAAACCGGATGAACTGTATGAACCGGATAATGTGGTGCCTATTATTCTTCAAAGATGCTCACCAGATTTGTGTCATTACACTTTGCTTTGATGATAGGTTTTCGCTTCAACGAATGTGCACTAATGCTGTGCAAAAACTGATCACACCTTTCGCAGGATCGCCAACTCCATCGTCAGTCACTGTTGATAATCTTCCAAGTCTTCCCGATCCAGTGCATCACAGTACTGTCGCAGATCCATTTGGCTTGGTTGAACTTCCTGAGGTTTTTGCTTCACTTTGATAAATGATTGAGCTAATTTGATTCGCATATCAAGGTACCAATACCTCCTCCCGCAGGAAGTCAGGAGAATTCATTGGAAACTGGAATCAGTAGCATTCCAGAACTTCCTCATCCAACTGATCCGCAGGCGCAACCACAGCCTTCTAGTTCGGTACTTAAAACTTTCATTAGTTTACTGAGTTTCCTAGCTTGCCGTATCTACAAATTTTGCAATATGCAAATCACGAATGCGTCTTCCAAGCTCAAGGAAGTGACAACCTTTTCACAGTGTTCAGTTACGCTATATCACGCCCATCTTTGTAGCTTTTTCTGCGACGTTCTATGTCTCTTCTGAATTCATTTGTAAACTCCTCGCATCTAGGATACGTTTGGGTCTGTCGATCTGTTGATTTTTCGTGATCTCTTCATTTTTTTATCTATTTCATTCTGCTTAACTCCGTAATTATTTTTGGGTTTAGGTCAGTATGTTAGTATGGTGGTAACTTTGATTTTTCGAAGAAGTTTGGAAAATTTGAAATAAATATCTTATCTCTTCGTTCTTTCTTCTATCTTCTATCCACAAACGCTAGGGGTGAGAGGGAGGGGGTAGAGTAGGGGTGAGGGTCGCGCTGAACTCCTACCCGGGGGGGAGGGTCCTATTCGGCTAATTTGGGTGGGGTTTAGCGACAAAATTAGGGTTTGGAACTTGAAGGCAGCGTCCAGGTACGTCTGGACCTACGGGGATTTTACATGGAAAGTACTTTTGGGGCCCTAACTAAGCCACTACCCAACCGGCAGCTCAGGTAGTGCTGTAACGCCTGAGATATTCTGCTCGAAACTGGACCCCGCGACCGTGTTTCGCATGGATTCATGGCGCAAAGCGTGGATCCTGGCGCGAAACTGCCATGAATCCATGCGAATACGTTCGCGGGGGTCTGTTTCGAGGGGAATATCTCAGCCATTGGAGCACTACCTGAGCTGCTGCTTCGGCAGTGCCTTAGTTAGGGCCCCAAAAGTACTTTCCATGTAAAAGCCCCATAGGTCCAGATCTGCCTGGAAGCTGCCTTTAATTAGGGCTAATTACAGTATGCCGCGATCGGGGGGCTCCGGCGCACAAAATCGGGGGGCTCCGGAGCAGAAAATGGGGGGTATCCGGAGCAGAAAATGGGGGGTATCCGGAGCAGAAGATGGGAGGCCTCCGGAGCAGAAAATGGGAGGTATCCGGAGCAGAAATGGGAGGTATCCGGAGCAGAAAATGGGAGGGCTCCGCCGGACAAATGGGAGACCCACCGCTGGGGATACGCCGCGACCCTGCCACTTCTCCGGCGGAGGGGTCCGATCCGCTGTCTGAGAAAGGGTACACGCCCTGTTCACACAAAGAAAGGTCGAGAGTATAGTTAATGTAGTTCCGCGCCCGCAGACAGTAAAGCGCTAAAATCATTCTTGAATGCCATCGTGCTTTCGAAGATTTACGCACGTTTTGCCTTAATTGCCGATCCTTAAACTAAATTCTTCCTGGAATGTTGAGTTTATTTGGAAGGTGGAACATCAGCATTTGAAACATTAAAACAAGCCCTAGTGGATGCGCGTGTTTCAGTGCTCCTATATTAGAAACTAGCTGGCTTACCCGGCTCCGCCGTATGTTCCGAATAGAAAATTCCATTTCTTAACCGGTCCGGACCAAACTTGGCACACATACACTTCGGGCCCCGGCGGGTGTCACAGTCCACTTTTCATTATCGATCGATGTCGATTTTATCAATCTTTTGCAAAATTTGAGCTAGGGGGCTGAAATTTGGCAGAGGGGTGTAATCGAGCATGCTGATCACCCCCACGGGGGTGATCAGCATGCTCGATTACCCCCCCCCCCCTGTGCCAACTCCCAGCCCTGTAGCTCAAATTTTGCAAAAAATCAATAAAATCGACATCGGTCGATGACGAAAAGTAGCCTATGACACCCGCCGGGGCCCGAAGTGTATGTGTGCTAGGTTTGGTCCCGATCGGTTCAGAAATGGAATTTTCTATTCGGAACATACGTACACACAGACATACAGACAGACATACAGACATACAGACAAACAGACATTCAGCTTTACACATAAGATTCTAAATCATCCACACCGACGATGGATCTGCACTCGGTTTCGTCGCGTGCCTCCTACAAGTCTAACCGGTGGCTAGTAGTGAATTTCATCTCAAAGGCATCCGCTTTCTTAACAAGCACGAAAAAAGATCATGTGGTACTAGAAAGACTAACACTTGTTGTTAGCAGCATAATTATCTCCAGGGTTGAGCGTGGGGTCAGGCGCGCCCGACATGGGGGGTCGTACTGGGGTAAGACAGAGAGGGGGGGTCATGATTAGGAATTGAATTCGTTCTGAGGAGATACTACGATTAAGGTGAAGAAGAAAAGCGCTAGTTTATTGGATATTGCGACCTCACCAGTACTGAAGGAATGAACGGTCTTAAGCAGCATACTGATTGATTCCACAATCGAAGTTTCGGCCAAAACTCAAATCTTCATCTTCTATCTTGACATATTATAAATTCATCAAGGAAGCTTGCTGTGTGAAATGGGTATCATTTCCGAGCACGTCAAATTACCTCTATGAGCCCTACAAACCATTATTTACTGCATTATCTAGTGTTTCTCAACGACTAAAAAGCGTGATTTCAAACATGATTAACTTGTTTTCAAAAGTGAGAAAAGTCAATTTTTTTGTACTCGTAACAAGTATTGTTCCCTAGTAGTCTAGGCTAAAAATCGCGCTTTGTATCGCTTGTAAATAGTGGAGTAAGAAATAATGCCAAAATTCCGACCGGCGCGTTTTTCGCCATGACTGCTTCAACTCCACGGATTACCACAAGGCCGAAACAAGTCGAATCAAGTCCAAACACTTACTGTGGAATCTTCGAGGGTTGTGCTAGCGATTCACATAAAACGAATAAAAAAGCTTCTTCAATGATAAAGTTAATCGGGTCAGGCGCAACTCCACGAAAGGTCAGGCCGCCTGAGCTTTTGAGGGGTTGCGCCTGACCCGATTAACTTGTTTTCAAAATCTAAAAATCGCTCCATTTCTGTTATAAGTATTGCAAAGCCTCTTCTTGCAATACTGCAAATTTGGAGCCAAACAATACACCCCTGTGGGAATTACAGCTCTAAAAGTAGGGCTGAAAATCCAAAACTTGCCGTCAAGTTGCGTGTGCTGTGCAATCGCAGAAAGTCGACCTACAAATCTCCAAAAAGCAAGAACCTCCCAAAAACGGCTGATCTCTTCGAATTATTACAGCCTGAGGTCCTGGAGGTGAAGCAGAGAGGTCGTTTAGGGGCTTTCACTGGGGGGGGGGGGTCGTTTTGGAAAGACTTGTGCCTGACCTCTTGCTCAACCCTGATCATCTCTGTTACTTCTTCTATCACTTAGTCGTTGATGATGCTGAATCAAAAACCTCAAGCATCCATCAGGTTCCGTGCCCGCCATGCTAGCCAAAGAATACTCATCCGCTTTGTCGAGTTAACTATGACGATTCTGTTAGCCTCAACCATAAGGAACAGTTAGCATCACTCAAAAGTGAGAAGATTTCTTATAGCTGTAAGGCGAAAAACATGCCAATAGTTCTTTGTCCGCAGAATCCAAGATAGTCACGAAAATGCGCTTCAAACCATACTGAAGTAGATATATTATTACAAAAAAAAACTTGCTTTACTGTATGCTATGCGCAAGCTGTTGACTTGCAAATAACTGGCTACAAACGATTTTCCGCGACCTAGTGGAACACTCACAAGTTGCGTGAACTAAACCATAGAGTAGATTCCGTACAGAAGGTAGTTTTTTTAAAGAAGAAATCAGAAGAAGATTGTTACAATTCAAATTTTCAAAATATCCCTAAGTCAAATTTTCTTTATAACATCTGCTTTTTACCTTTCGAGATAATTTCTCTGTATATTGCAAAGTGGGAGCCACAACTCATACTCTTCACACTACCAAGATAATGCAGAAATTTTAGCGACCTTCTCCACCGTACTAGAAATTAGTGTTATAAAGCTCTGGAGTGATAGAAAATATATTATATATGTTTTCACAGGACATTTCCGTAAATGTTTTTTTGTATCAAACATTCTCTCGGAAAACCCAAACCTTTGTAGCATTGAAATCATCCCTCATTTTACTCGGAGTCATAAGTGAAATTATTACAAAGAGTTCCTACTCGGAATCATGATAGAAAGTGATATTTTTTGAATCAGGAATGATATCCACGAAAGTCCATAATGGAGGAAAATGGACTTTCAAGCCCCATTTTATTCGTTCGCGGTGGAGAGTGGTCGGAATCTGCTTTCGCTCGCGTTATCCAAAAATTTTCATCCCACCGCAACCACGAGGCAAAGCGGTGAAATGAAAATGATTTAACTACCCTACCTGAGCTCTCGCTTGCGAAATGATGACGTCAAAAGTCCATTTAGATTGGGGCAAAATGGGATTTACCTCCATTTTAAACGGACTTGAAAGCCCATTCTCCCAGCAGCAAGGTGAGCTGGGACTAAGCCCATTTTTGACCTTTTTGCATATTTTTGATTGCGATTTTTTGGGAATGTGTTCCTCAACCTATCCTAAGGTAATAGGTGAGTGGAAAAAGTTTCATGTCTTTTATGAAGTCTGAAATAAGTGTTTCTTTCTAAACTCATAGAAACGCTATAAAGACATAGAAAAAGATTAAATTCACCCAAATATTCGCTAACAAACCCAAATGCTTCTTAATATCAGGTCAATCAGAAAACTCTTATGTAAAACAAATAAAGTTTGTTAACTCTTCAAATCATCAACTAAAACCAAATTCATGATTTGTAATCTAAAATTTGAAAAAAATTGTACTTCACTGTGATTACTTAGAAGCTATCTTTGGCTAATTTCGTAGAACCGAACCTCAGAGACGGCATTTTGAACGCAATTTTGGTCCGCAAGAATTACTGAAGTGCCGCTAGCTAGCTAGAGAAATTCCGTGAAAAATTTCTTACTAGATTAGTTTATACATTCAACTCCTTAGAGCTACAAATATTAGTGCTGAAAGACAAAGAAAAGTTAATATAGAGCACTTGCGAAGTCATCTTTTGGGATTCAAAGTTTTGCGACTTGAAAACCCCTTTGAGCTGTAGTGTAGTACAAGGTTTCTTGTAAGGAGCATTTTGGTTTACAGATTGCAGTGCAACTCCAGCCAAAGTTTGCTTTTTGCAGAAATCTCCACATACGAATTCGATTTAATGCTGATTCGTAGAAGTTTTGAAGCGAAGGCCCGGATATTACATGAATTTTAGTCTTGGAAGTGATTTAGATGCATAGTCATCGACAACGAATGGCATTCTGTTAGGTGTAACGAAGTGGGAAAGAATAGAATAGCCACTTGAGTGACATTGTAATGTTAGGTCAGCCTAGTTAGATATCGACCACTTGGGGGAAATGAGTTTGCAAGAGTGAGCAAACAGGTTGAGACAAGTTGGAGAAACGTTAGT